CACCCCACACACACACACACACACGCACACACACACGCGCGCGCGCATACACAAAAACGCACACACATTCACTTCTGCTTGCTGACTACTTTTGATGAGTGCAATTTCCACATTTTCTTTCATCAACGTTCTCACCGTAGCTCAGTTGGCAGAGCGTGGGATTGTAGACGGTTAATTCAGAATTCCTACGGTCACTGGTTCGATTCCAGTCGGTGAGATTAATTTTTCTCCTTTTGACGCCTGTTGTGCTTGTGTTGTCGTCGCGAGTGCAATGCGAGTTGCTTCCACCACCACACACATATACGCGCAGGTGCTGCAAGTTCACATCAACCACATGCTGCTTCTTCTTTCATTGCGTTCTGGTTTTGTACTTCTTACTGACCAGAGGGACAAAAGAACGCAACTGAAACAACACAGCCAGCCGCAACCCTCGGTCGCGTGCTGTTTCCAGGTTTCCATCTACTCTACTACAACCACAAACTCACGCGCATGGGCTACGCTACACCTGAGGCAAGGGCTGTGGGGTGAAGGATGGGGTGGTGCGGTTGTGCGTCAGGTGGGGCCAGTGGTCGCCCTGATCAAACGCCAGCTCGTCCACGGCCATGATGCGTGGGTTCGATCCGCCAATCCTGCCGTTGTGCCACGCATGATACACGACATACCTGATTGGCAAAACACGCGAGCGTCAGTGGTGGTGCATGGGAGTATGGCAGTGTATGGTGGTGTGTGTGTGTGTGTGTGAGAGTGTGTGTGAGAGCGTGGGAGTAAAGGCGGGAGTAAGTATGTGAGTGCAGAAAGGGAACAGCCGTGGGACAAACATGGTCACAAACCAAGCGACGACACACACACACACACACACACACACACACACACACACACACACACACACACACACACACACACACACCATTGCTTTGCGTGTGGTGTCTGGACGACAGAGCAGTGTCCCGGGCCCGTGAACCCGGCTGGGTTGGAGGCATCTGCATCACGGTGAAGAATAGGATTGGAGGCATACTGGCGCGGGAAATGCGCGATGGGTGGTGTGGTGGTGTTTGGACGGGTTAGTTGTATTCGCAACCAGGTGATGGGAAGTGAGGAGAAGAATAAACCACAACCACACATATGTTGTAACAAGTGAATGCGAGCAGCGCAAGTTCTCAGTCACGCCACGTCGTGCGCAGTGATATCGTGCACGCATCATGCAAAGCACATTTCCCTCCCTTTTCGCCTTCCCGAATACCCACACACCTTCTCGTAAGGGCCGGTGATGTTTGGGGAGCGTGCAACGCCAATTGCGTACTTTGGACTCGTGAACCCGTTGGCCGAGAAGAACATGTAGTACATCCCTCCTGCAGCAGTGGGTGCACGCGTGGTCGTTGTGTGAGCGTGGTGGAGGACACGTACACGTATCGCTGCTTGCAGCAGCGACGTACACACACACACACACACACACACACACACACACACACACACACACACACACACACACACACACACACACACACACACACACACACACACACACACCTTGCTTCACGATCCATGGCCCTTCGACCAGAGGTCCTTCCCACGGCTGGTCATTGGTGATGGCCTGTGATGAGAGGTGTCGGTGGTGCGTGAGAGCAGCCCCATCAACACAGCAGCATCAGCAAAAGCAGCAGCAGAAGAAGAAGAAGGCAAGGGGCGAATCCGCTGCATGACACACACACACACACACACACACACACACACACATAAAACGATTGTACCACGTAGGGCTCTGCTGCCAGGGTGGTGCCGTTGTTGATAACGCGCTGGACAAAGATGGGTGTGGGCACGGGCGGTATTGCGCCGTTGCCATCGCGCTTCCAAATCACATAGCTATCACGTATTCGCGCACAACATGAGTAGCGGGTGAGACAGCGGTATTGTCGAGATTGCACAGCGCAAGGTGTCGAAGCAACGGCCAGACAGCCAGACAGGCAGGCAGACAGAGAGACACAAACAGAGAGAGACACACACGCATACACAAAACCCGACAAAACAACACAACACAACACATCACAACATAACATAACACAACACAGCACAACACACCACACCACACCACACCATGCGCCAACATCTCTTCAAAGCACTGACTCGTTGTCGCCGTCGCGGAAGAAGGACGCGTCAATGTTGCCCATTCCGGGCGTGTGCACTGCACCATGCAGCAAGCAGCGTGTGCACCATCCAACTGTGAGACGCGAGCGAAAAGCAGAACAGAACGTGCACTGTGAGTGTGATGGCATGTGTAACTTGCAACGCACCGAGAGGCGCGCCAAGATCAGAGAATGGGCCAAGGGGCGTTGGGCCCGTAGCCACCCCAACGGACAAGGTGCCGTCCTTGTGGCTGTGGTGGCGGTGCAACGAAGCTTGAACTTGTGGGTCGTAGCAACGAGGGCAAGCGAAGCGTGGGGGTGGGGGTGGGGGAGGATGGCAGACAGACGGCTAACAACATGATGCGAACACAAAGCACAAAACACCACATATGTATTCACACACGCACGCACACAGACCGACAGACACAGACAGCCAGACACAGACAGACAGACAGACAGACAGACACACTGCGCACCGTGCTGCAAAGTACACGTTGTACTGTGAAGCGCTGATGCGGTGAATCTCTGGTGCCCAAAAGTCTCTGACGGCCCACGTGGGCCTGCCAGCGGCGTTTGCAGGAAACACGTGTCCAGACAACTTCCAGTTGACCATGTCGGTGGATGTCTGCAGCAGCAGCAGCAACAGCACGTGCGTGTGTGTGTGTGTGTGCGTATGTCACGTGCATCATGAGGTATGTGCAGAGAGCAAGCACACACAAGCAAGCAATGGCAGTGAGCGGGTACGCATGCTCAAGGCGGAACCAGTCCCAATCAAAACACAGCATCCACATGTGCACATATACAAACACGCACACACGCACGCACACACACACACACACACACACACACACACACACACACACACACACACACACACACACACACACACACACACACACGCACGAACCATGATGGGAAAGGCGTCTGGTGCGTCGCCGCTGGTGGTGACGGCGTACACGACGCCATCTTGGATCAACACCCCCGGATCAGGGTGGTTGCTGTCGATGACCGGTTTGTGTACGTCCCCTGCACATTCACATTGTGTTGCCCTCTTCTTTGCACTCCGACCATCTGTGGCCCTCCTCCATTCACACCAACACCAACACCACAACACCAACCACCACTCAACAGCAGCAGCGCTGCAAACACAAAAGGAAACCAACCACCACTGCACATCGTCTTGGGTCGAGAATTTACCATGACCACGGATCGTCAAGTCTGACGCCTCTAGATTGCAGAGAACGGAGGACGTGTTTCGTGAGCCTTCCGTACCAATAAAAGGAGCAAGGACGGCACCCCACTAGATGTCCTAATCGCTCTCTCCTGTATCTTGCTACATCCTGCCGCCCCCATGCTTCATGGTGTGATTTGTCTTTATTACGGATTGTGCTAGCCTGAATCGTCGTTTGACATTCTAATGTGGGGCGTGCTTTTCGCGCCCGTTGAACCATATATGGATGCTCAGGATCTCCTGGAGTCAAGCACGGAGAAAAGTGCCCTTGGGTTGGGGGTAGCCTGTCTCAGCGACCGACGTTCATTGCTCTTTCCGGAATGCTACCTTACCGTCGCTAGAGCCAGACGGGACACACACGGGTTCGCTGCAGCGCGACGCAGGAGCGGCTGGAACCTTGATCATGTTGAATATACTTTTTGCAGCCGGTCTAGCTTGGGAAGGTCCTTACGTAGTGCCTTGCAGGAACCACCAATCACACCATCAGGGGCGTGTCAGAAATACTTCATAACTTAGCTCTTGTCCAACGAACCACCACCACTGCACATCGTCTTGCTTCTTGCTTCTTGCTTGCTCGTTCAGCAGCTTCCACAACCTGCCGAAAATTATGTGAAATCTTCTTGCATTGTTCCGTAACCGCTGCCAGCGAAACGAAAAGTACAACAACAAGCAAACAGCTCCTCGCTTGTCTCCTTCATCATCGAGTGGTCTGCCATCCGCTCCGACACACGCCCGAGGATGAGGACTTCGACCACGGGGCTTGATGCTGTGCGACGGTGGCGCCGATATGTGGTGATGCGGCGAACACGGAGGCAGTTTGAGGACCTGGTGCTGGCAATTGAGGGCAGCGCGGCACAGGTGCAATGGCCACCAAACTCGCTCCGCCCCGTGGTCTCGTCGCCGCACGCCCCATGGTTGTGCACGCCACAACAACAACAACAACAACAACAACAACAACAACGACAACAACAACAACAACAACAACAACAACAACAACAACAACAACAACAACAACAACAACAACAACAACAACAACAACAACAACAACAACGACAACGGCAACGACAACGAGGACAATCGAAGGAAAGCGAGGAGGAGCACCGGGAGGAACACGAAAAGGAGTGTGGGAAGGGGCAGAAGGACCAGAATCAAGAGGATCAGGAAGATCAAGAACGTAGAAGGAGTGATAGCGCACTGCAGGTTGGACGCACCCATGAGCAGGAGCATACAAGGGAGCAAAGGGAAGACACGCACGTTACACAACAGCAACAACAACAGCAACAGCAACACGTGGCGCGGGGCACATGTACATCCCCGACTCTGTGGCTGTTTCCAGATGTGCATCCACGCCACGATGATGAGGTGCAGAGCGAGGTGCCGGTTTCCGTTGGTGCTGGCGGTGGTGATGAGGAAGAAGCTGGCCACATTTGTGACCACCCCCAGCTTCCACAGCTGCAACAACGACGACAACAACAACACCAACAAAGGCGACAGCATCGCCTGCGTGAAGAGGTCGTGCCCGAAATTGCGACCGTTGGTGCCAGGCGAGACACGGGCCGTGACATGGCACCAGAGACAGCCTCGGTGCACACAACAGTCCCTGGGTTGCACGATCACCACCACCACCATCACCACCAGCAGCAGCAACAGCAGCAGCACCAGCAGCAGAAGTGGGTTGATGATGACGATGACGTGGATGATCCTGATTTGTCGATGGCGCTGTCTGATTTGTCGCTGCTGTCTGTATCGACCATTTCTACGCCCGACCCTTCGGAGGAGGTACACAGCTCGCCTGCCCACACGGATTCCACGCGAGACACGCTGCAAACGCCATCACCGCCGGCCTCATCGCTGCACTCACCAGCGCACGTGCTCGGCCACAGTCGAGAGCACGAAGCAAGGCATACTGAGCACCCTGCTGCTGTTGCATTCGGCAGTGGTGGCGGCGGCGGTGCAACAGCTGGCATTGATCGCCACCCGCATGCACCCACGCACAGCAGCCATAGTCATCATGTGCGCGGGGTGCGAGATGATGGCGCCAAGGCACGTGGCCCAAATCACCAAGATGAAGAAGAAGAAGATGATGATGTTGATGATCACAACAAACGCACGCAGCACCAGCACAATACGCGCACGCAGCTTCAGCACAATACTCACACGCAGCATCAGCACAATACACGCACGCAGCACCAGCACAATACACGCACGCAGCACCAACCACACCAGCACTGCGAGTCAAGCAGAACACGCGAGCAGTGGGTGCCCGTGCCCTCAGCCAACGCCAATGCCACCACCGCCACCACCACCACCACCACAACAACGTTCTCTGTGTCGCGGCTGCTCAAGCTGCGGCAGCACATCATGATGGAGCTGGACTGGACGCGCCAGTGCCTCGCCTCACGACTGCAGATGCAGCAACACCTTCACACCATCCAAACCGTTCCTTCTCCACTCCCACCACCACCAACACTGTGATGATGTGTCGTCCGAATGCCAAAAATAAACTGCACAGTCACATCGGCGGGTCTTGTCCACTGTTTGCACACAATCGCATTCATTTCCGCTCCGCAACACCTCCCACAGCGGCACTGCCTCATCATCGCACCCTCATCATCGCACACGGCACCATGTCTCATCACCCTCAGCCAGACCGGGAGATCCCAGCCAATGTGAGTGATCGAGAGTCAAGGAAGGAAACACGCAGGAGAAGGAAAAGAGAGCGGGCAGTGAGGGTGTGGCGGTTGGCTATCTGTTGTGGTGGTATTGACCAAGTCGACATGACATGGCATGACAGCACCCATAACGACTTGTTTGCTTCGTGTGCAACAACACAGCTGTTTGTGTATCCAGATGCGCTGAAGGAGCAAGTGACGAAGGGACTCAGCCCCGTCGCTCTGTGCAAGTACTCCATCCTCCCACAAGAGGAGTTGCAGGCAGAGGTGTGAATTTGTATGTGCGTGGTACGTGTGTGTATGTGTGTATGTGTGTGTATGTGTGTGTGTGTGTGTATGTTTGCGTTTTGTCGCCCACACGACTCGCTCGCATTCATGTCACACCATCACATGACCATTTGGCGCACCAATGGCGCGTGCAGCACGTTCGTCCAGAGTCTGTGCAGGAAGCGCGTGCGATGGGCGCCCTGATGGGCCTGGTGGTGCGTCCCGGTGGATGTCACACTCAGTCACATCACATCATCATCCTGCACATGCATATGCATCATGCAAATGTCAGGGTGCCTCTCTCTACACACATACACACACACATACACACACATACGCACATACATACATACATACATACATACACACACACACACACACACACGCACATACATGCAAACACACACGCACACACATACATACATACACACACACAACCCCCCCCCCCACACACACACACGCACACACATATCCCTGCAGGATGGCGATGCGTTGGGGGCGCCGCTGGAGTTTAGTGCTGTGCGTTACGGGTCGACAGAGCACAAGGGCATGGAGAAGTCATCTGGCCTGTGGAAGGACACGTCGCACTACAATCGCTTCAGGCTCAAGCCTGGCCAGTGGACAGACGACGCAAGCATGGCGCTCTGTCTTGCAGACTCCCTCCTCACCCACCAGGGATTTGACCCATGCGGTACGAGCAGCTGGGGAGTCAGCCTCATGTGATGGATGGTACGCCAGCATCTCTGTTGCGTGTGCTGTGGTGGATGCATGTGTCACAGCCCACCTCTTCCTGAACATCACCTCTTGCTCTTCCCCAACCTCCGCCACACGCTTCTACTGCCATTCTGCAACAGACCTTCGCCTTCGCTTCCTGTATTGGTGGAGCCATGGATACAACAACGCCTTTGGCCACGACGATCCCGTTCGCCATTCCGTCGGCCTTGGTGGAAACATTGGCGCCGTACGTTGTGTGTGTCTGTGCGTGTGTGTGCTATGCGTGTGTGTGTGTGCTATGCGTGTGTGTGTGTGTGTGTGTGTGCTATGCGTGTGTGTGTGTGTGTGTCGAAAGCCTGCGCTCACGCCATCGAATTCATCCCCTCATCCCCTCATACCTCCCCGCTTGCAGTCGCTTGACGAGTTTGTGCGTCCGCGCCCCTTTATCGATTACGCGGACCGGCAAGCAACCACCGCGGGGGACACATCCACATCAGGTGCGCTGTGCAATTATGGGAACTCGTGTGCTCTTGCGAGAAGCGCATCATATGACGTGTCCTGCGTTCGTTGTCGTGTTTACCCTCTTCCCCTTCATCTTCTCAACCTTAGCTGTGACCTTCTATCTCCGTAACCCACACACCCATCTCTTCTACACGCCACCCCTCCCCCGTCACTCCTCTCTTCGTCCTTCCTCCTTGTCCCCCTCACCTCCCCCGTCTGCTGTAGGCAATGGCTCGATCATGCGCCTTGCCCCTGTCCCCATTCGTTTCGCTCGCGCCAACGACACCGCAACCGCCCAGGCCGTCGCCTGGCAGCAGAGCAAGACAACCCACCAAGGTCACTCGCTCGCTGCTGTTGTGCATGTGTGCATGTGTGCATGTGTGCATGTGTGCATGTGTGTGTTTTCTTGTGTGTCTCTGTGTGCAATTGCACATGTGATTGATGCGCTGCCCTCCAACACATACATGAATTCTCACACTCCAACGCCACGCCACGTTCACAGGCCACGAGGCAGCGCACTGCGCATGTCTGCTGACGCACATCATGATGAGCGCAATCTCGGCGCCGGCAGACGCGACGCCCGAAGACGTGAAACAGCTGGCACTCGGCAACATCGACGTGAGGAGGGGAGGGGGGCGGTGAAAAGAAGAGGAGGAGGCAGGGAGAGGCAGGAAGTGGAGGAGAGAGGCGACTTGCTTCCTGCTGGATACACACACACACACACACACATACACACACACACACACACACACACACACACACACACACACACACACACACCGCATCATCCCCATCCTGGCCTTGTGCTGTTCAGTTTACGCCGAGCGGGCCTGAGTCGTACAGCATCACGTGTCTTGCGAAGAGCATGGACGAGGAGGAGCACGCAGAGAACAGGCACCTCGACCTGAACGATCGAAAGTGAGTGTTGGTGGTCGATCAAGTTGCTGGGAGTTAGCACCTCTGTGGGCAGCAAAGCAAACGCAGCCCATGTACACGGCGACCTGCACTGCTGAACTGCATGTATGACTAGCACATCACCGCCGCACTCCACCAATGCACCTCCACCAAATGCACCTCCACCAATGCACCACCACACCTCCCCCGCCCATTGCAGGTGGAACTGGAAGAGCAAAGACTACAGATTCTGTGAATCACGCGCATCATCACAGCCGGGATATATTGGCAGGTGCGCACCCCTTGAGAGTCCCGCGTGTGTGTGTGTTGTGTGTGCGTTGTGTGCGTTGTGTGCGTTGTGTGCGTTGTGTGTCGTGTGCGGATGCCTATGCGTTGGTTGCATGGCTTTGTTGGCGGCCATGGACGCTTGTCAAGAAGGACTCTGATTTTCTGCTCACACACATACACACACATGCACACACATACACATACACATACACACACACACACACAACACACACACACACACACATCACATACACGCACACACACACGTACATATACACAACACACACACAACACACACACACACATACACACACATACAATCCTTTCTCCATAACAACAGCTACAGCATGGATGGACTGGCGATGGCGCTGCATTGCGTGTGGACAACAGACTCGTACATCGCTGCTGTCCTCAAAGCCGTGAACCTTCGGGGTGACGCCGACACGGTCGGGGCAATCACGGGCCAGCTTGCCGGCGCCATTTACGGCTATGATGCAATCCCTCAAGCGGATGTGGACGCCATCACCACGTGGGATCCACACGGCACCATTGCAAAACGCGCGCGCAGACTGTACCGCAACGAGTTTCTGTGAATTGTCACCAGTGTCTGCCGTGGTTGTTGTTGTTGTTGGTTGTCATTTCACATAGTAAGGTGTTGTGTTGTTGTTTGTTTGTCGCCTACGACCATGTGCCACGTGTTTGGTTTCCCCCGAATCGTTACTGCACGTTGTTTTCGTTCATTGCACAAGAGGGTGTTGCTCCTTCTGCTTTGTTGTCATCACCACACACGACACTGGGCTCCAATTTGCGTACACGACAATACACGCTTCGCACACACTGTCAAAGCCAAGTATCACAGCAAGTGTCACGCAACAGCCAAGCCGGACGCCACACAAGCACACAGAACGCACACACACATTCAAAGCGATGCAGGTAACTTAGAAGAGAGAAGAGGACAAGAGGAGAAGAAGAAAAGAAGGGAACAGAGAAAATGTACGAGACATAGACAGACAGACACAGACACAGACACAGACACACAGACACACAGACACACACACAAACACAGGCACAGACACCATCGGTTGAACTCACTGCTCCTGAGATGCTTGCGCTTGTGCATCTCCGCCATCCTTCCCACCAGCACCGTTTTCAGTCACTACCTTTGCATCATCCCCCGCACGACCACTGGCATCATCACCATGCTCCTGCTGCAAGTCTTGGTCCCGCTGCCCTGATCGCCCGCGGGTGTTCGCCAAAGGGGAGTGGCTTCCGTTCACGTTGGTACCACCACCATCACCGTTGGTGCTGGTGCCGTTGCGTGTTCTGCTCTTTGTCGGCGACTTGCTCGGCGATTTCTTTGGGGATGTGCGCGTTTGCTTGTACTTCTGCAGGGCTCTGCGCGCCTTGCGTGGGTTGCCGCTGTATGTGACGTACGCTTGCTCAAGCTTCTCTCGGCTTGGCTTTGACTTGACCTACGATGCAGGGAAGGGGGATGGGGGTGGTAGGGTGTGGTGTGGTGAGGGTTGAGCGTGATTGAGAGTGGATGGGCAAGAGAAGTGGATGGGAAAACGGGGAGAGGAAGGGAGGAAATGAGGACGGACACACACAGACACACACACACACACACACAGACACACAGACACACAGACACACAGACACACACACACGCACACAGACACACACACACACAGACACACACACACACACACACACGCACACAGACGCATGTATACCTTGTGGAAAGCGACGCGTTCGAGTTGAGCGATTGTTCGCTTCATCTCTTCCTTTGCTTTCTTCTCCTCCATCTTCTGCTGTGTCGACTTGACTTGCTCCCTAACACACGCACACGACAGGGGACAAACGATGGTGGGATGAGGAGAAAGAAGCGAGTGAGTGACAGGACATCAGGTTCTTCTGGGCACACGCAGACAGGTAGATGAATGGATGGACGGATACAGACACAGACATAGCACACAGACACATGTACGCACTGACACACAAACACACGGGCACAGACACATGGACACAGACACACGGACACTGACACACAAATACACGGACACACACGGACACACGGACACACACAGACGCACAGATACAGACACGGACACACACACACACACACACACACACACACACACAGACGCACAGACACCGACACAGACACAGACACAGACACAGACACACACACACAGAGACACCGACACAGACACAGACACAGACACAGACACAGACACACACACACACACACAACGCACCTGACTTTCGGCAGGGTGACAAAGTCCACGACTGTTGGCGCGTGCTTGGGAAGGTTTGGGAGGTGGATGGGGATGGTGGGGAGGGACGTGCGACGAACGCGGTTCTCCTCTTTCACAGCAAGTACTTTTTGGTCTGAATGAAGGTGTGAAAGGGGGGGGGGGGTGTATAGGATGACGAGACAAGCAAAGGAGGGTGAGTGCAGGAAGATATGCACGCGGTTGTGTTTGAGTTGACAGCTGTGAGACAGCAAATAGAGGCGCGATGTTCCTTTCCTGTTGTGTTCGCACATTCACACGCACGTACACAGATACAGGCGCAGACACATACAAACACACACAGACACAGACGGACAGACAGACAGACAGACAGACACACACACAGACACAGAAACACAGAAACACAGACACAGAAACACAGACACACAGTCAGACACAGACACAGACAGACACACACACACACACACAGACACACACAGACGGACGCGTGCCACGTACGGTGAATCCACTTGTCGTAGTCGAGGACACCTTCACGGACAACGCTGCCCTCCGCCGCGTGCTCCCCATCAACGCAACTCCGCACCTCCGCTGTTGCATGCGCGTGGTGGTGTATGCATGCATGCGTGCATGTATGCACGTGTGAGGTGATGATACGTACACCTTCGGCGTTGTGTTGTTTCAGCTTTCAGACAGACACAGACAGACAGACAGACAGACAGACAGACAGACAGGCAGACACACACACACACATATGTGCACACCTTCTGTGAGCGGCGGGCTGAGGGCGAGGATGGTGGTGACGACCTTGTCGACCGGCAGCTGCCCGGACGTGTGTTTGTCTTCGAGCGTGAGGGAGTCCAGGACGGGTTTGAGGTTGGCCTTGCACCACACGGCAAACCTCGACTCAACTGGGAATGACTCATTCTCCAATATAGTCTGCGCTGGTGGCCTTCGTGGTGATTGGCTGCGGCCTACAAGACACCAGGCACACATGAGATGATGACGCGTGTGTCGCGCGGGTGTTTGCGTGTGCGTGTGCGCGTGTGAGTGTGAGTGTGCGTGTGCGTGTTTTGTGATGTTCACGCAAACTAGATGAGGCAGTGACGAGAACGCACTTCGGTGTGCCGGGCTGGTGGTGCGTTGCATGGACATTCGTCGCATGGACGCTCGACGCCGTGCCACTGGCGGCCTGCAATGCAACACAATGCAGCACAAAGTCGTGCATAAGCATGCAAACGCGGTTTGCAAACGGGATGAGCCTGTCGTTCTGTTGAAGCCCAGCAGAGTGTTTGGGTCAAGAATGTACGCGGCAAACATCAGCATGCACGCTTACGAGTATGTATCTGGGTTATCTTCTTCCAGCTGCAGTGCCTGGTGCGGCTCTGTTGTTGTCCCAGTCATCGAGAAGAAACGCACCGTGGGTGAGTTGGTGATGAATCACTCGCACCAACGAAAACGCATGTGTGTGTGTGCGTGTGACATACTTAGAGAGACATACATACATACATACATACTCGCATGCATACATACATACATACATGCATGCACACATACATACAAACATACATACATACATACATACATACATACATGCATACATACATACAAACATACATGCATACATACATACAAACATACATACATACAAACATACATACATACGCACACACGCACACACGCACACACTCACACACACATGAGTGTATATACATACATACATACATACATACATACATACATATACAAATACACACACACATACATACACACCGATGGGAGCGAAGCTGGTGCGGCGTGTCTTGTACGTCCAGCCTTCATCGTAAGTGACTTCCTTCGAGGCAATCACTTCCTCCTGAACTGGCAGCTGTGTGTATGGCGCCAAGTCGTTGCTCACATCCGGCACAGTTTCACTGTTGGCGGTGAAATGATAAAGGACGAATGACATGAACACCACAACACACACAGTGCAATAGGTGAGTGCTTTGCGTGCTTGCAACACGTGTGTGTGTGTGTATGTGTGTACATCGGTGCACGCACTGCACGGCGCTGCAGCACAACACAAAACACACAACACACAACACACGACACACAACACACGACACATAACACACACGCACATGCAACACAAAACACTACAACACACAAACCAACCCCACACGCAGCGTACCCTTTGAATTTGGCCCGCCGGTCTTGGACGGCCTTCTTCGTGGATGCCCGCAGCCGGGCATTCTCCTTCTTGGCCTTGGCCAGCGTCGCCATGCTCCTCGTCGTCGTCAGCGTCAGCGTCAGCGTGATGATGTGCTCGCTTGAGGACAAGGGAGGAAGAGGGTGTTGTGTTGTGTGTTGTGCGTCTTGCTCGTCGCGAACAGCGCGGTTTCTAAGACGGCGCCCAACAGCATAAACAGTAGCACAATACCTGCTTGCTTACGCACCAGCAGCCAACACACACACACAAACAACGGCAACGCCGACACAGCAAGCAAGCAAGAAGCAAGCAAGCAGTTGACGACTTTCCCTTGCTCGCTTCCAAGCCTCCATTCACATCACGCCACCCATCACCCACCACCACCAATCACGTCCCCAACTGCTGCTTCACGACTGTGTCGTCTATGACACTGACACCCAGGGGATCCTCTCAGAGTTGCCGTCGTGCACGGTCAATATCATCCTCACATTGATTGTCACATCACGGCATTGTCTTTCCCCAGTTCCACACACATCACCACCCACACACACGGCGCGCGTGATCGACGCGACGCGACGCGACGCCATGTATCCCGCGGCGAAGCGCGCCAAGTTCCTGGCCATGGAGACACAGCCTGATTCAGGCAGCATGTTACGTGCAGCCGTCGCCCCTGCTGTCTCGTGCGGGCTGCACCGTGATGTGGCGCAGCAGCGCAGAAGCGCGCCGTTGGCGCCAATTGGTGTGCGTCGACCACATCCACCCACCGCAAAACGCAGACACAACATCGATGTCGACAGCGACAGCACCAGCAACACGGGCACCACCGCCACCCACACCAGCAGCAGTATGACCAACACATTCTCCCGCGCGCACCGTGCGTCGGGCACACGGTTGACAGGCACACGGTTTACGCGCGCATCTCCAATTGACCTGATGGATGAGGACGACGAGCAGCCGCCATGCAAGCGCCCCACACTGTCCATGGCCACAGAGGAAGACACACCCGTCCACATCATCGATGACAGCCAGCAGCACGACCCGCGGGCGCGCGCGTGCAACAGTGACGAGGAAGGGGAAACGGACGACGTATGTGTCGTTGATGTCGACACGCCACGCAGGCCAGCGATACGCAGAGGGAGCGTGATTGTCGTGGATGGCGAGGACGCGCTTGGCGCCTCTGCGCTTCGCTCGTCCACAGACCCCATTGTTCTTGTCGACGATGATGACGACGGTAATGGGGACGGGAATGGGGATGGTGACGACGACGATTCTGCGTGGGACTCGGCAGTGGATATCCGATCATCCAGCACGAGCAGCACGGAAGACATGACGCGGCACAGCGGAGTACGCGACGGCACGGCAGCTGGCATGCGTGGGTATGGTCCAAGTCCCGGCGAAGGACTCAGTGTGCCATTGCATCGCTCGTCATCGGCGCCATCACGCTCATCCTCCTCGTCGGCTCTCTGGGTACGTGTCAACATGTGTGTGAGTGTGTGTGTGTGTGAGTGTGTGAGTATGCAAGTGTGTGTGAGTGTGAGTGTGAGTGTGAGTGTGAGTGT